TGATGGAGATCCACCAATCTTTGAGCAACTCATTGTTGGCACAAGAAGATATTCTGGACTCTCCTTGTATTTTCTCTGTCTCAGATATAGAACCAGCCATGTCTTCAAGGAGTCCTAATCTACCCAGGCTTTTACTGAGATATGATTCACATACAATTCACCCATTCAAAATGTACAATTCAATGGTTTTTAGTATATTCTCAGAGTTGTGCTACCATCACCACTATTTTAGAACATATTCATCACCCCCAAAAGAAGCCACATATTCTTTATCTATCATCCCCCAATGTCCCCATCTCTCCCATCCCTAGACAACAATGGCATGTATCCTCAGAGTCTGGTGTGTATGTCTGTTTGTGTGTATGAGTGCGTATGCCATTGATTATGGGGTTGGCAGGGGAAAGAGGCAATATCTGGGAAATCATGATCACACAGGATCTAATGCAGAGGGTGAAGTTTCCAAATGACAGGATAAGAAGGGATTGGCTAAATTCCTCACAGATGGGAGTAGGGGTAGGTATGGGTAGGGTAAGGCCCTGATGATTATTTGGGAAAAGTAGATAATACAAGGTAATAATTAAGAACTCAGTTTCTGGAGTCAGGTGTTTGAGTCTCAGCTGTGTAACATATAGCTATGTAACTCTCAGTAATTTAAACCCTCAGTTTCCATGTCTATGCAACACCCACTCTCTGTCTCAGAGGTCTCAGGAACTCACAGGCACACATGGTTGTAGTTGGCACCTATAAATGTGACCTACATAATCTTGGTGGGGGATAGAGTGTGGTGTCTGGTCAAGGAGACCTCTTCAGGGCAGAATGAAAGAGGCTGTCCTCTGCCATACTTTTTCTCTGGAGACAATGTCCTTGGGAGAGGTTCACTAAAAACCTCCAAGAGTCTGGGGATTAAAAAGCCCCCCCCAAAGAAATTCAGGGGGCTGTTGTTTTAATTTTTATTTTGGGACTAAGCATGAGTAAAACTTTGCATCCTTCTTGAAATGTACCCTGTCCATTCTCTGTACCTTAAAGTTACAAGTATTTAAAATGCCTATTTAATACTTAAAAAGCTTTATAGAAAATTACACAGACAACTATCTTACCATGAATATAATTATATGTATATATTTCTATCATTTTCTGATCATTGTCAATGTGCACAGTTTCTCATAGTTTTATATCATAGAACACATAGATTACAATTGTTCCCATGTGTCACTGTATACGTAGATCCTCATAGATTTAACATGACTGTAATTGTATACACAATTTCATACACTTGTCTTTTATATTATCATTCAATTCTGAAACATATAATTAGCAATTGCTCCTAGATAGCTTATGTGGAGAGACAGTCTTCAGTTTGTAGTTCCAGCTTTCTTGTGAAACCTATCATACTTTAGGTCTTTGAATCTTAGGATTCATGAAAGTTTTGGTTTAAAAGTGAAAAATGAAAAGACTCTGTAGCAGATTGTGCTCCCGAATATCTGTAATCCCCCTTTTATATAGTAATAGAATTGTAGTTGGGTATATGGCTGCCTAGCACAAGGTTATATTTTTGGGCCCCCTTTGCTGTGGAGACTGTGTGGTTGCAGGAATTGTGTAGAAGGAACAGATGCCTTGATAGAATTGGGTGCTCCCTTCGTATTTTCTGTCTTGCTGGTGGCAGGGAGCAGCTACTCTAGACCCAGAGCCAGAAGTGAAGTCCCGTGTCGAAGATGGCAGAGCCATCTTACCATGTCTGGATGGTTAACATTCTCTCTTATTTAAGCCATTTTATTCATGGGTGGTCCAGCTTTATTCTGATATACCACTTTCCCATTGATTGTTTCAGGTAAGACAGTTTTAAAATATACCCTCATTCTGAAAAAGCCCAAAAGTTTTGCTTTGTTCCTCACATAGTGTTTGCTAAGCTATTTTTGTCTCTCCACTTGTGGTTGGTCACATGTTGGTAAGTGTTTCATTTTACTGGTGACACCTATGCCCTCCTATGTGTTCTGTGCACAGGGCTGTATTCTAGGAGGAATGGCTCCTGCCACTGGGGGTTGGCTGTATTCCAGGAGCTCAGTGTTGGTCATCCTGTATTGCACACGTTTAATATTACATAGAAGTAAGCATTAGAAAAATGTCAGGATGTGGCAGAATAAAAAGACTGTTAGCTGAGAGCTAGCTGGAGGCAAGATCCCAAATCCTGTAAACCAATGGTAGTAATTGTAGTAGTAACAGAATTCTGCAAACACCAGCCCTACCTTCCTCTCCCAACTGATACTCATTGTTCCCAGATCACATCTCTTACTGAAAAGTAGAAGGAACCAAAGGAAAGTAAATTTTATTGGACACCTTAAGATTTATTGAGAGGTTGTGCAAAACAGTGATTAAGAACTTGGGGACTGAGGTCAGATATATCAGGGTTCAAATTCCAGCTTCATGACTTATTAGCTGTAGGGTTCGGTAAGTAACTTAATCTCAGTGTCCTCATCTGCAAAACTGAGATAATAAACCAACTTTGAAGTTTTCTGGACATTAAATAACATATCTAAAGTCTGGAATGGATTAAAAAGGAAGTTGATAAATGGTCATTAACATTATCTGTTCTGTTCCCATTTCTTGATGTCAAGTGCTTTACATACTTATGCCATCAACCTTATAAAATGGGCATAACGTATTAAAAAACAAAATTTAACTGAGTAAATTTGAAGATCTAATTGGCTTTATGAAATCTAGCAAACCAAGAGCTACTTGGAGAGGTTACACAACAAAGAAGGCTTTTATAGTAAGGAGGGTGGGACAAGGAAAAGAAGTTATTAGCAAAGAAAAAATAAAATTTCATTGCAGTAAAGTAAAAGGTCAGGTGACACTGGCTCCTCATTGGCTGAGCTATGGTGTTTTCTATTGGCTGGGCTTGTTGCTGGGCAAGAAGGAAGTTTTCCTTCCTCCCCTGTGGTAGTAAGTAGTAGTACTTCCTGTTTGGGAGTGCATGTTACTTCCTGGGGTAAATAACTGACCAGCTTCCTGTTGGGGTAATTGTCCTCTTCCTGCTTGGGGTAATTGACAATGAATGGTAGGATGTGAGAGTTCCCTCCATAGGCCTTCCAGACTCCTATTTTAGTTGCGGTTTCCTTTTATTAATTTTCACGCATACTTATGCTGTCAACCCTATAGAATGGGCATAATCCTTCCCATTCTAAAGATGAAGAAATTGAAGTTAAAGAATTTCTTAGGTGAAATAGATATCATATTAGTTATTTTGCAGATGAAGACATGGAAGCATGGAGTGTTTAAATAACTCATGGATGTCTCAAAGCAAAGCAATTGTGGAAAGACGATCCAAAGCCATGTCCGACCTGATATTTGGCAATTCTCTATTAGTTGTCACCCCTGACAGGTTGTCACAGTCATGGTGATATTTGTTATTTGCACTAACTTTCAAGAATCAATTTTCTTCACAGATGGGCATATCCACATGACTCCTTTCAATAAAGACCAGAGTCACAACTCTTAGGGAAGAAGCAAGTGTCCCTAAGTGGTGTTTTCTCAACTGGCTCTGTGCTCATCAAAACCATTGGCCATCCTTCTTACTCCGATTTCTAATATAACATAAACAATCTATGATTAGCCTTCTGCAGTTGTCCTAATCAATCACAAGTATTTTCTGAGGTTATATTATTTCAAACAGTACTGTGTCAAGTGTTCTGTAACTCCTTTATTTGAATTTACAATCTACTGATGAGCCAACATAAAGATATCAAAACAATTAGCAACTAATACAAGGGAACAATAATTAAATATTTAAATAGCTATTGATTAAATAATAAAATATTAAATTAATATTTAAATATTTAAACAGTAAATAAATATTGCAATTATTGCACTAGTTGAACTGTAAATAGAATTCTGAGTTTCTTAGGAGAAAAAGTGAACATGATTATAAGAAAAGGGGAAAGATACAAGAGGAAGCAAAGTTTTTCCTTGTCTTCAACTTCAAGAGATTTCACAAGTGGCACTTTACAGAAGATAGAATAAAAGATGCCCTCAACAACGTTCTCACAGGAGACACAGAAATGGAACCCAATTGCCTTTTTCTTTTCATTTTGGATAAAGCTGAGGGTCTAACATTGGAGGAAGTTTTGCTTAATACTCAAAAATGTAATCAGTGCACAACAGCAGAAATTTGTGTGGCAGTGGGAATATTCTCATAGCAGCATGCTTTTCAAACAATATTCCCAAACACACCTTTTCTCCGTTGAGATTTGATAAAAGCTAGGTAGGAGAAAATTGTATACAGTGTGTTTTGATGGCCACCTACACTCTGAGTTGATATTCTGCGTTTCTGGTTGAGGGAAGGGCCTCTGTGCTCTAAATCCCACCTCAGCATAAGGTTTGGCTGAGCCTCTTTGTTAAGACGGTGGTTCCTGATTAGGATTAGACTCCGGGACGGGCCGTGCCACCTGCTTGAGTTGGTGGGCTGAGGACCCTTGTTTTGATTGGCTGTTCTCACTACTTTCCTGTACTCTGTATGGTAAGCCTCATGTATGTTTATAGGCATGTTTAACCGATAACCCTTGGCCCTTATATATATGAGTAAACCGGAGTCCCACGCAGAGCTGCTACCCTGTCAGCCAAACCTGAGACCAAACATTTTAGTTCACCTTTGCCGCTAACTCATGACCCCAGGGCATGGCCCAGGGAGTGTAGGGAGGCGACCCTCTCCGGGGAGTTCTTATAGAATATGTTCCCCCTAAAATATTCCACAGCCTTGGAGAATTACTTTCTCCCTTCCTTTGCTGTACAAGCCATTACACCTCCTGTCAGGCAAGGGAGGCCTGAGAAAGTGGAACCTGGAACGCTCTGTCATCGGTGTTGGGCGGGGCGAGGGTTTGGGGGCGGAGCCTGGCGCGAGAGGGAGGTTTTAGGGGCGTGGCCGGGCGGGGCGAGCTGGGGGCGGGGCCTGGGCATGCCCTGCGGCGTGCGGGGGGCTGGCCTGCGCGCGGCGGGGGCGGGGCAGCAGCCGCAGGCTCACGCCGTAAACAGTCAACATGGCGGCGGCGGCGGCAACGGCACCCGGGGCCTTGGGTATCTTGCAGGCCGGCCGCGCTCGCTTGGTGGCCGCTTGCTGTGCGCGGCTTGGCCCTGGGTGGAGGCTGTCCGGCTCCTGGACGGTCTCGCGGGTCGACCCGGCGACCTGGGCTCGGGGCTGGACACCCGCGGCCGGGGGGGCGGCCTGGCGGAGGGGCTACAGCTCTGAGGTGAAGACGGAGGACGAACTGCGGGTGCGGTATCTGGAAGAGGAGAACCGAGGTGAGGGGCGCGACGCGGGCGGCCGCCGGTCCTAGGAAGGGGTTGCAAGGTCGAGTGTCCGGGCTGACGTCAGTGTCCGCCGAGAGGCTTGGGGGCCCTTCCCCTCCCCCTCCCAAGCGTTGCAGCTGTATAGTGCTCTCCTTGCCTAAAGGTGTCCTTCGGAGCAGCTTACCTGTAAAAGTGGCCCTACTCGGCGCCGAAGACAGAAATGCGGCTTACGTCCTCATCTCTAGACGAGCCAAGGTCAATAAACCGGGTGTGTGATATTTGCTTCCAGATTTTGTTCTTGCTCTGTGATTCCTGTCAACTCAGCTATCAGGCGGAGAGTTTTGGAAGCTGCCTTGACAATGCACCTTATTATTCTGAGTCTTCTTAAATTTAAAGCGGTGCATCTGGAACAATTTTTCCCCTTGCCCATTTTATCTTAGAAGGTTAGTTTTGTGGACTATTTCAGTTCAGTTAGACAATTTTGAGCATTTTCTTGGTCTTCCAATTCCCTTGCTGAGCTCTGGGGGACACAGTTGTGGATGATGTTGATCTTGCCCTTGAGCTACCTCCTTGGGTGGATGGAGATAGATGCATTAGCAGTACAATACAGTGGGAGGAAGGGTTGTGATAGAGGATGTGTGCCAGTCGGTGGGATTGCTGTTAAAGCTCAATTCCTTTCACTTGCCTTGTTGGGAGAAGTTAAATGGATCAAGAAAGGTGGAAATAGCAGTTTGCCAGAAGAGTAGTCGTTGAATTTTGACACGCAGTTATTGAGCACCTATAATCGGTTAAGCAGAAGTGCGAAACGAGTTAAGTCATGATTGCTATCTTTAAGCAGCACCCAGTATAGCGAGGAAGATAGTGGTGATTAAAAGGTTATGCTAACTTTAAAGGCTTGGCGACAGCAAAGGGCTGTAGTACCCCCAAGGTTCATATGATAGCTATATCTGGGGAGATTGGAAGACTCCAGAAGGGGATTCTGAGGGTTAAGTTAGGGTTTTGCCAGATGAAAAGGGATCCAAGGCATTCTTTGCAATGGGATGTGACATTAGTGAGGGTTCCTAGGCAAACTTCTCTGTGCTTCAATTTTCTTCCGTGCAAAAATAGGAAAAATAATACCAACTTTGTATGCCTACTGTGGAGATTAGACGAGAGGGTAATATAAATTGCTCACTGGGTATCGATCTAGCTCATAGGGGGTCTTCTGTAGTATGATGAGTTATTTCTTTTATTTGTTTATTATTTCATACAGACAAGAGCATGGTGAAAGGCATGGCATGGGAACATGTGTGGTGTTTTGGGGAAATGGCATAAGGCAAGTGTGGTTGTACTGGCATGACAGGCAGAATTTTTAGAAATTCAGCTGGAAAGTAGATTGGCACTGGAGTGATTAGAGCCATGAACGCTACCATCTTTTGGGTAAGCTTAGTCTTGCCAGCATTTCAGTTACATTAGGTGAACCAGCAGTACATTAGATTCAAATGCATTGCAGGTACAGCTAGTAATGTGCACCATATTCTGTATTTTTTTGACCTAAATGAATGCATATTGAACGTAACTTTTTATAAAATGTATGGAAAGTCCTTCAGTTAGGTTTCAAATGGGTCAAGGAGAAGAAATCAGAATATAAGTCAATTTGATAAATTCAGAATGTTTTGTCACTTGAAATGTAAAAATCAGCTATTGGGGAATACGGGTTCTAAAGAAAATTGACCTGCTTCCTTTCAGGATTGGAAAGGTGACAACTCAGTTTTGTTTAACATTATATATGCTTTACTTTGCTTTGCTTTACTGTCAAACCAGCAATAAGCAGTGCAAAGAAAAACATGAGTTCAAGGCTGGTGCAGGTGAAGGAATCTCCCTGGTGCCTTTGCTTATTAGAGGCGAGTCCAAAATTTGGTGCTCTTAGCAGCCTGCAGGGAATATGACAACTCCACTGGGTCAGAGGAGCCCCAGACTGCTCTCTGCCCTGTAGGCCTCTTTAGGCTGGTGGAGGTGGATAAATGCAGAATACATCCATACTCATAGGTTGCTTGGGTTCCATATTTGTAATTTGTTGTGGAAGCACAGTTAGACAACCAACTTTCTTTAGTCGTTATTTCTTGCATTGTCGTCCAGCCTCCTCAGGGTTTTAGAGCAGCAGTCCTGGTCATGGTTTACAGAGGTCTCTCCTGGTTTCCTGCAGTGGCTGCCTTTATAGGTCAACTGGTCTCCAGTCATTCTCCTTCCCAGTTTGTTCTTTGCACTGGTGCTGGGGTTATTTTTTCAAGGCCAAGCAAGAATCACATCTCTGTTCAGTTAAAAACCTCTAGTGGTCTCTAATGCCTACAAGCCCTCACAGCTGCAGGCCTTTACAGACCATCCATCTCCCTTCTGCTGCACCTAAGCTTTACCTTTTCTTGCTCTTATGTGTCTGTGCTTTTGCACACATCTTCTGGAATGACCTCTCCCTTCTCCATACCAACCTTCTCCCAGTCTTGCAGGCTTCTACTCATAATTGTGACCCATTTTAAAGACCATTTTTGTGAACCTTATACCAACTTCTGGTAGAAGTAGAGCAAACAAGCAAATGAATAATTCAAGTTATTCTTAATGCCCGCTCCTACCTCATCATTCACATCTGGCTTATCATCAGGTCTTCCCAAGTGCCTTTGTAGTCTTTCCATTTTTATCCATGTTCTTCTTTACCAACACTGCTCTTGTCCAAGCCTGTATCATGTCTCAGGTGGCCTGTTGAAGAGGTCAGCTAGCTCATCTTCCTACTACATCCTTTTTTTTTTAAAAAAACCAGGTTGATTCCTTTCACATTTTTCTCATGTTTTAAAGAATACATTCTTTAATTCCATATATTTTATGGCATGTGAATTCTATCTCAATAAAGCTATATATTTAGATAGATGTATATATTTTAAAATTTTATTGAGATTAATTCACATATAAAATTAAAAATGTACAATTATTTTTAGCATATTTACAGAGTTGTGCAACCATCACCACAATCCAATTTTAGAACATTTTTATCAATCTAGAAAGAAACCCTGTTCTTTTTGGCAGTGTCTCCCCATTCTCAATACTCCCTCTCCCCCCAGACTAAGACCCATTTATCATCTACTTTCTGTCTCAATAGATTTTTCTACTTTGGACATTTCACATAAAGAAATCATATGTGGTTATTTATGGCTTCTTTCACTTAGCATTTGGTTTTTAAGATTCTGTTATGTTGTGGCATGTATCAGTACTTCATTTGTTTTTATGACTGAGTAGTATTCCATTGTTTGGATTTTTTTGTCTGTTCATTATTGATGTACATTTGGATCATTTCCACTTTCTGGATCTTGTGAACAATGCTGCTTAGAACATTCATGTATAAATTTTTATGGGCATCCTTTTTTATTTCCACTTAGGAGTGCAATTGCTGGATCATATGGTAATTGTACTTCTATGATTAACATTTTGAGGAACTGCCAAAGTTTTCCAAAGTGGCTGCAGCATTTTACATTCCCACCAGCAAAGTATAAGGGCTCTAATTTCTTCACATCATGAACAGTAATTGTTTGGTTTTTGATTATAGCCATCGGGTGTGTTGGGAAGTGATATCTCATTGTGGCTTTGATTTTGACTTCCCTAATATTTAAGGATGTTGAGTATCTTTTCATGTGCTTATTGGCCGTGTGTATTTCTTCTTAAGAGAAATGTCTTCTCAAATCCTTTTTAATTGGGTTGTTTGTCTTTTTGTTGTTGAATTGTAAGAGTTCTTTATATATTCTGGATGCAAGTCTCTAATCAGATACATGACTTGAATATATTTTCTCCTATGGGTTCTTTTTATTCTTGTTAATTTTGAAGACCCTAGGCTTTTAATTGTGGTGTAGTACAATTTATTTGTTTCTTTTGTTGCTGAGCTTTTGGATCATATCTAAGAAACTGTTGCCTAACCCAGGATCACAAAGATTTATAACTGTTTCCTTCCAACAGTTTTATGGTTTTAGCTCTTCACGTTTGTGTCTGTGATCGATTGTGAGTTAGTTTTTGTGTATGGTGTGAGGTAAGAGGTCACCTTCATTCTTTTGCTTTGGATATCCAGTGTACCAGTGCTATTGATGAGACTTATTGTTCACCACAGAATTGTGTTGGCACGCTTGTTGAAAATTAATTGACTGTAAACATAGAGTTTGTTTCTGTACTTTCAGTTGTATTCCATTTATCTACATGTCTATCTTTATGTCAGTACCATTTCTGAAGAATTTATACCAGAATCTCTAAAGAATTCTCAGTTTATTCAAGGAAGTCAAGTCAACTGGTATTTTGATAGGAATTGCATTGAATAGGTAGATCAATTTGGGGAATATTGCCTTTTTAACAATGTAAAACTTAACATTCCATGAACATGGAATATCTTTTCATTCAGCAGTATTTTGTAGTTTTCATTGTATAAGTCTTACACTATTTTTGTTAAATTTATTTCTAGCTAGTTCATTCTTTTTGGATACTATTGTAAATGGAATTGTTTTCTTAGTTTTGTTTTCAGATTGTTCATTGCTAGCGTACAGTAATACAATTGTTTTTGTATGTTGATCTTGTATCATGAAACTTTCCTGAACTTGATGATTTTTTCTCATAGGTTTTTAGTGGGTTTCTTAATATTTTCTATATACAGGATCCATGTCATCTGCACACAGAAGAAATTTTACTTATTCTTTTCCAATCTGGATGCCTTTTATTTCTTTCTCTTCTGTAATCTCCCCCTTTGGACCCTCTGTTACAGTGTAGACTAAAAGTATCAACAGACATCCTAGTCTTTTTCCTGATCTGAGGGGAAGGCATTCAGTCTTTCACCATTAAGTATGATGTTAGCTATGGGTTTTTTGGTAGATGTCCTTTATCAGGTTGAAGAAGCCTCTGTTTATTCATAGTTCAAGTGTTTTTATCTGGTTGAATTTTGTCAGATTCTTTTTCTGCATCTATTGAGATGATTGTATGTCTTTTCGTGTTGAGCCTATTGATATGATGTA